AAAAAAAAAAAAAACCCAAAAAAACACAATCCTGTGAACAGCAAAAAAAGTGCAGCCTTGTATTTTCAGTTGACATAAATATATTACCTGCCAATTTTCATATGGAATGCAAAGACCTGCAATCTGATATTCAACTTATAGAAAAATTTGATCTTGTCCCTTTACTGGTCTTTCATAGGTCCTTTCTTCCCAGAGACAAATATCCCTCACTTCACAATCAGGCCTTACTTGGGTAGCATCTCCATTTGCAAGCAACTGTTTTTAAGAATGAAGCATGTTAAGAGTAAAATTAGAACCAAAATATCCGATGAGCACCTTGAAAACTCACTAAGAATTGGAACTACTCTCATAGAACCAGATACTGGTGCATTAGTTTCTCAAGTACAATGTCAAATACCCCACTAATGTTATGTGGCCCAATGTTTTTACTTTTATAATAAAAAATATTTTTTAAAAAGGATGTTTTATTACTTAGATATGTACATTTTCTGTATTAGTGACTGCAAACTTGGGACCTGCTTGATGATTTTAAAAGGCTCTCTGAATGGGCCACTGGATAATTAGGATTATCATGTAAGGATGTTTTTGCTTATCTGTGGTAGTAGATATCATGAAAATTATGCACAGACCTTCTTTGTTGCTCATCAACTTTTGCTAGTGTTTGTGTATTTAATGTGTGGCCCAAGTAAACTCTTCTTCTTCCAATGTGGCCTAGAGAAGCCAAAACATGGAACACCCCTGGCCTAGATAATGAATCCATTGGGTGATGCCTGCTGTCATTGATTCTTCCTTTGTTAATCAGAATACCCTGATAAAGAGACTCTTCTCCCTCAATCCTCCAGTTGTCCTGAGGTAGTGTTTCTATAGGAAAGACAGATTAAATGCAAGTTTTTCAAAATAATAGCTTTGGCTCAGTGCCTGTGGCTCAAGTGGCTAAGGCGCCAGCCACATACACCTAAGGTGGTGGGTTGGAATCCAGCCTGGACCCACCAAACAACAATGACAGCTACAACCAAAAAATAGCCAGGTGCTGTGGCGGGCACCTGTAGTCCCAGCTACTTGGGAGGCGGAGGCAGGAGACTTGCTTGAGCCCAGGAGTTGGAGGTTGCTGGGAGCTGTATGATGCCACAGCACTCTACCCAGGGGGACAGCTTGAGGTTCTGTCTCAAAAACAAAACAAAACAAAATAATAGCTTAGTTTTCTCATTTTTTTTTTTTTTTTAGAGACAGAGTCTCATTCTTGTGCCCTTAGTAGAGTGCTGCAGCATCACAGCTCACAGCAACCTCCAGCTCTTGGGCTTAGGCAATTCTCTTGCCTCAGCCTCCAGAGTAGCTGGGCTACAGGCACCTGCTACAATGCCTGGCTACTTTTTGGTTGCAGCCATCGTTGTTTGTCGGGCCCAGGCTGGATTTGAACCCTCCAGCTCAGGTGTATATGGCTGGTGCCTTAGCCGCTTGAGCCACAGGCGCTGAGCCTTATTATTCTTTTTGATGTGGAATTCATCACATTTTTAGTGATTGGCCACATTTTGGCATTTGGCAAGGGACTTCTTCAAATTGGCTCTATGTCTTTTTGAGGTGAACCCTAACATTTTTTGACAGCTTTTTTAACTTGACTTATCTTGTTCTCAAACCCAGTATTTAGTTCTCCTAGGGGTTCTTATGTCCAGAGACTTAAGAACAAAAGTAAAAATGCTGGGATTACCCCTATTCCCTTGACTCCTATTGGAAGCCTTTAATAGTCCTGAGGTTTGGGGACAGCGGTACTGGCCTAACCCCTTCAGGGCAGTATCAACATTACAAGAAAAGCAATAAAATGTGGAGGTTTTGAAGGAACAGAAATGCCCCCCTTTTAGGGGCTAAATTTTGCCTACTCTTCAAGACTATTTTTTTAAATTTTTTACTGTTTTTTAGATTAATATGAGGGTACAAATAATTGGGTTGCAACGTTTGCATTTGTTAGGAAGAGTCCCTGTTGTTCCAGGAGGTGTGCCATATACCCTTACATTGTGCCCATTAAGTGGGAGCACCCCAATCTCCCTCCTTCCTCCCCTCCCCCAACTTGAATTGAATTGAGTTTTTCTCTTATGTAGGAATTCAACACCATTTTAGAGCTCAAATTTCTTATTCCACTGCAAATTAAATTAGGTAAAAGAACTTTAGCATGATGTACAAAGTCTGCAGTTTTTGGAGACAGAGGCCTGGCTTCAAATTCTGGTTCTACCATTTATTGGCATCTCTGCATCTCAGATTTCTTATGTGTGGAATGGAGATAACATCCATCAGAAATGCTTTATATTATTACGGGATTCAATGAGGAAATTTAGCACCTACATTTCCATCAAGTCCTGAATAACTAAACACATATAGTACTCAATAGATATCTAATATGATTATTTTTATTAATCTCTAGCAGTATGTCAGGCTATTAGATGCGAATAGATGATAGCTAATAAATATTAGCTATTTATAATTCTTATTAGGTAAGAATTCTCTAGATAAGTGTTTGATTCCTCAGGGGTTCCTCTGTGACTGTTGACTTTGACCAAAGAGAGGGAGGCAGGAACGCACTTGGAGTATGGTGAGGGTCAGGCCAGTGGGACAAAGTCACCCTTTGACATTAAGTGAAAGAAAAGAGGAGGTTGAGGCTTGGGGCTGAGGATTTCTAAGGTGTGAAAAAAGATGCACTGTGCATTCTTAATTCCTCAAAAGACAAACAATTCAAATGCTCCCAGCCTCCACGGTGGGGTTCATGGGTATTGGTGCTGATGAGATGGTCAAGTCAAGGCCTTGGGTTGAGGTTGGAGGTAGGTCTTGACTCACTCAGATTAGTGAGAAAATTCTGAGTCTGAGCAAATTCTCCATAGAGATCTATGGAGACCCACCTATGGAGCCAGGTGCCATGCTTCCATATCACCAGCTGCTGCTTCCCAAAGGTAGGATTTGAGCATGCTCTATTGAGTGGGGAGAGTTCTGGATGTCAGGTTTTCACCCATGGTACTCATTTGAGGTGTCTTTGGGAAGATAGGCCAGCAGGCAAAGTGGAGAGTGCATACCTGAGGCTTTGGGAAGGACCATTTCCCCCATACCATCCCCATCACAGAAACCGGGATACTGTGCTCTAGTAATCCTGTCCCTCCATGCCCCCCATGCACACACTCCTATGTGGACAGAACCCCTCTGAACTCTTCAAAGCCCGTTGGGTCATGGTAGGACATCTGCCCTTTGGGAAGATCTAAACTCACTAGACTCAACATCCTAGGTACTGTGACCCTGAAATCTAGGAACCTCCATCTTTATTCCTCAAACATTTTTCTTAAAAATTTCCAAGTGTAGCTAAAAGTTGAAAGACCAGTACACCAGACACCATGATAGCCTTCCCCTAAACTCACCAGTTCTTTCAACTGACATTCATTGAGCACCCAGCATGTGCTAGGTGCTGGGACAGGCTCTGGTACATAGAAAGGAGTGAGTCCTGGTTCCTGAGCTCAAGCTGGTCGGAGCTTATCAGAAAAAGGAGACAGTGAAACAAAACAACTATTATATAATATGGCCTGATAAAATGTTTTATTACTGATGGGCATAAGGTACTGTGGGAACACACAGATAGGAGTCCCTTTCTGATTGGACGTTGCCCCTGGTCTGATTGGACGTTGCCCCTGGTGATGGGGTATTCCATGGAAATGGATTGTGGGTGCCTGAGCAGTGTGGGTGAAGGCATGGGGATTTGACAAAGCCTGGAGGATTTGGGGAGTTGCAATGTAATGATGCAGTGATTCAGAAAGTCCCAGCACTGGTCCCGGGGGGGGGGCTGCAGGGGCCATCATGGTTCAGAGTAGGGAGCATTAACCGTGTGACATACAAACCACTCTAGGAGATCCTGAAGCTGACCACCCTAAGAGTGTTAAGCTGGGAATCTTTCCCAAAGTGAGTGAGGGAGTTGCCTGTGCGCCTTTGGGAAAGAAACATAATATAAAATATTTGTCAGGGCTGGTGGCTGTCAGGGATCTTGCTTGAAATCAAGGGTCATTGAGTTACTTAAGGTGACTCAGCGTCTTGGGTTACTCAGAATAGATGTGTCAGCACGGGCACCTGGAATGCACCTTAGTGAGCCCTTGGGGCCTCTGTCCTAGATAACTTGCTTCCCACTTCCTGGAGTCCATCAGAAGTGAGCCTTGTATATAATTACCCTAACTTGTTATAACTCAGTTCTGGATGAAAGGGAATGAACCTTCTTTATTTATTTGAAAAGAAAAGAAGACATTTGACATGTAAGGAAGACTTTTAAAAGGATGCGAGACTCATTTTCCTTCCAAGGAAAATGGCATCTTAGTTTTTCCAAATGACCCTGATGGTACTGGGTGGCCATGACTGCAACTTCTCCTCTCTGGGGAGGACTTCCCTGCCTTTATTATAGTGTGGTCAAGGGCAATAAGTTCTCCCATGCATACCATATTTGCTTTAACTTTTTCTTTTAAGAAAACAGCTCACGATTCTTTTGTAGTTCATAAGCATGACGATTGGGTTTTCATGCGCATGCGTGAGATGTGCCTCCCACAAATCTTGCTGACGACATCAGCCCATTACCTGTTGTGGGGGAAAAAAAAGAAAGAAAGAAAAAGAAAAAGAGAACAACTCGCGAAGACTAAAAGCTGTGACGTCTACTCAGATATCAGGATTTGGGGTGTTGCAACTCAATGATCCTGGTGGGCTGCAGGGGCCATCATGGCAGGACCATCACATCTCTGAGTAGGGAGCAGTAGCTACATGATATATAGCCCATTCTAGGAGGGATCCTGAAGCTGACCACCCTAAGTGGTAAGCCAAGAATCTTTTCTAAAATGAGTGAGAGAGTTGTGTATGTTCCTTTGGGAAAGAAAAATAAAATAAAATGTTTGTCAGGGCTGGTGACTGTCGAGGATTTTGCTTGAAATCAAGGGTCACTGAATTACTTAATGTGACTCAGTGTCTTGGGTTACTAACTCAGGATGGATGAGTCAGCAAGGGCATGAGCCCTTTAGAAAAGGACTTATCTGGCTTAATGTGTTTATGTACTCTAGCTTCTTCCTTGGCGATCTTCAGATAAGCTGGTGTGGTGGTCTCACTTTAGGAGGGCTGTGGCAGAGAGGGGTTGGGGTTTTTGGCCTAAGACCCACTCTCTCTTCTTCAGGGGTCGTAAAGAAATTCACCTGGACTTGGTAGAGAGGATCCTTTCTCCACATCTGAACTGTGAGTCTGCAAACCAAGCAGGAGGTCTCAAGGTGGGCCTCAAGCTGTATCACCAGCATCTTGCTGGTCAGATGGTGAGCTCCACTCTACAGGGAAGGGCTGCTAGCATCGGAGTGTTATCATCAGAATGCTTTCTCAGAGCCCAAGTTTCTCTGTGTGGCTCCCAGCAGCAGAAAATAGGAAGAGCTGGAGGTTTTCCATCTAAAGACATGCTAATGAACAAAACACAGATAGTTGCCTTGTCTTTTGTTCCCAACTGTGGCACTGTAGTGCCCTGAGAAACTTAGAGTTGCCCTTTATGTAAAAAATAAAGAAAAAAACAAACAAATTGTTTTTGTCATTTGCATACTTTTGTGTTTAATGGTGTATGCAGATGACATTAAATGATTGCTAGAAGGTTTTGGATCAAAGGGCAAACCACAGACATTTCTGAGGACCTGTTCTCTGGCAAAAACAAGCATTTAAATATGAATGATATCTTTCTCCAGACAACTCAAAATCTCTTAAAACACAGGCACCTGAAAGTTAGCAATGACTAGTTGGTGCTGAAGAAGGTCAGAGGAAAGTCACAACAGGGATAGTGGGAGGGGAAGTCTGAGAGGGCTTCATGGATCAGAGACAATGAACTAGCAGGACTTAAATTCAGCAAACAGGCCAGGCAAGGTGGCTCACACCTGTAACCCTAGCACTCTGGGAGTCCAAGGCAAGAGGATCACTTGAGGCAGAAGTCTGAGACCAGCCTGAGCAAGCATGGGACCTCATCTCTACCAGATATATAGACGAATTAGCTGGGTGTGATAGTATGTGTCTGTAGTTCTAGCTGCTCTGGAGGCTGAGGCAGGAGGACTTTTGAACTAAGGAGTTTCAAATTGCAGTCAGCTTGGATGATGCCACTGCACTCTAATCCAGGTGATAGAGTGAAACTCTGTCAAAAAAAACCAATCAGCAAATAGTATGATAATCACATAACACACAAATGTGTGAAAAGGGGTCTGGAATATACACACAAAACTGTTCAGTTTTGGGGAAGAGACTGGGAAAAGTTGATGGGGGAATGTGGAGAAGATCGACTTTGAGGGTGGAGCCTGTGGCTCAAAGGAGTAGGGCACTGGTCCCATACACCAGAGGTGGTGGGTTTAAACCTGGCCCTGGCCAAAAACTGCAAAAAAAAGAGCCGACTTTGATCATGTTCACGTATTGCTCCTACCATCAGTAGGGTGTCAAAGAAGAGATCCCCCCTCCCCCACACCCAAAGTCACTACTATAGTGTTTGTCAATTTCCATCATGCGAATACTTTCCCTGTGGCCAATTCAAGAAACCATTAATAAGGTCATTACGTTGGTAAAGTCAAGTAGAAGCTTAAAAATTCTTTGAAATTTAACAATTTAAGCACTTATTATATGCCAGGCTCCAAGTCAAGTTCTGGGGAAGAGTGAGAAAAGATGATGGCAGTCCTTCTCCGCCTGGCAAAAGCAATACAGGAGGGGAACTCAAAGAGGAACTAGAGGGAGGAGAAGTTGACTGAGGCAAGGTATGGGGAAGGGGAGAATCAGAGAAGGTCCTCTGAAAGCAGGGATCAAGGTTCTGTAGATAGAGAATGGGAAGGCCCCAAGGCCTGGAAGTGCATGAAATACTTGGGAATTGCCGATTATTCCCTTTGCCCAAGATTATTGGCACAACATGGAGCATGAGGCCAGAAAAAAGGATTTGGACCATATTATCGAAGGTATTTCTTTTTGCTGTGCAGCACTGAGAGGAACTGACAGACGGAGCTGAGCAACATGGGGCAGTAACTCTGGTGGCAGTATGAACTGTAAAGGAGACCATTATAACATTTCCAGCAGGACATAATAATGGCTTCAACTGAGACAATGCAGTAGAGACAGAAATGGACAGATCCAAGCAGGAGTTAGGGAGGAAGAATTGATCGGATGATGGATAGGTTGGCATGAGTGGGAGAAATATAATGCTTGAAGGTAATACCTAGGACTTTTGCTAAATGACGCCCCTGGCTCCAGTGGGGATGAATGGCTTCATCAGAGAAATAAAGGAATCATTTTTAAGACTTGGGAGCCCACTTGGTTATTTTCCTTGCATCTCACTACCAACCTTTTTGAAGTTTGAAAGAGGGAAGTTCTGAGATGTGAGTGGCAGCCATTGAGATGTCTTATTCTACTGAAGTTGGATTTATGGATCCTGATTTGATTCTGGGTATCTATGTCATTAAAATGATGAGATGAACTTTTGGTCTGGGATAGAGGGCGTCTCACAAAACTGGGAAATATTAATTTACCTAGGAGTTTATTGGATAAATAACGATTTCTTCATGCAGCTTGAAAAGAGAATAACTAAGAGCAAGGGAGAACAGCCAGGTAAACCTGTAAGTCCAGCCTCTCTGAAGAGTAATAAGTATACTATGTAAAGAACAGTAAGGGGTTGGGAGGTGCCTGGAGATTCACATGAGAGAACAGTTGGGGAAGAGGCCAGAAATAACGCTCAGGTGTCTATATGCAAATACACAAGGCAGAGGAACACAGGCAAAGTCAATTTGGGATTGTAACACCAGGTGGTAAACATGACTGATCTCGCTGAATCCTTGTGGGATAAGACCTGAGACTGACATTTAGTTAGCAAATCCAATATCTCTGTCCTGCTTAAAAGAAGTTTACCTAAGAGGTGGGGAAGGAGATTGGTGTGTGTTGTAGAGGAATAAGTAGAAGCCCACTGAAGAGCATAGAGATGAATGTTGGGAAGGAGATTTAATCTCAGAACATTGAAGTAATTTACCATAGACCACGGGCCAGAGAAATGAGAAAGAAAATATTAAGCATCAAATTTTTATAATAGATACAAATAAAATTCTTTCAAATAATTTTATGGAAACTATGAGTTTGATTTCACAAACATACATAACATGTTTATGCTTGAAATGGCTCCGTGTAATTCCTAACCTCTTGAAATTTTCAATAGTCACAGCAATAAAAAAAATTCTTTACATAAGTGAGTGATAAAAAATAAAAAGTTTCTGGGCGGCACCTGTGGCTAAGTGGGTAGGACTCCAGCCTCACATACTGAGGGTGGCTGGTTCAAACCAGGCCTCGGCCAAACTGCAACAAAAAATAGCTGGGCATTGTGGTGGGCACCTGTAGTCCCAGATACTTGGGAGGCTGAGGCAAGAGAATTGCCTAAACCTAAGAGCTGGAGGTTGCTGTGAGCTGTGACACCACTGCACTCTACCAAAGGGCAACAAAGTGAGACTCTGCCTCTAAAAATATAAATAAATAAAATAAAAATTTTCTATAACTCCTGAAAATGTAAAAGAATTGAAATGTCAGAGGCTAGGGTGGTGGCTCATTCCCGTAATTCTAACATCTTGGAGGCTGAAGACGGAGGATTGTTTGAAATCAAGAATTTGAGACCAGTCTGAGCAAGAGCCAGACCCTGGTCTCTACTAAAAATGGAAAAATTAGGCTGAGTGTGATGGCTTACGCCTGTAATCCTAGCACTCTGGGACCCTGAGGGAGGACGATCTCTTGAGCTCAGGAATTTGAGGTCAGCCTGAGCAAGAGCAAGACCTTGTCTCTACTAAAAATAGAAAAACTAGCTGCGTGATATGGTGGGTACCTGAAGATCCTCCTGAGGTAGGAGGATTGTTTGAGACTAAGAGACTGAGGTTGCTGTGAGCTATGATACCATAGCACTCAACCCAAGGCAACTGAATGAGACGCTTTCTTAAAAAAAAAAAAAAAAGAAAGAAAGAAAAATTAGGCGGGTGAGGTAGGTGAGGTAGGTGCACCTGTAGTCCCAGCTACTTGAGAGATTGAGGCAGGAGGATCACTTGAGCTCGGGAGTCTGAAGTTGCAGTGAGCAATGATGATGACGCTGCACTCCAAACTGCCCTGTAGCTGAGATGACAGGGTGAGATTCTGTGAAAAAAAAAAAAAAGAGGGGGGATTTCAAGAGCTGGGGTCTCTAAGAAGTGTCAGGTCAGAGGCATTTTTTGCTCTCAGGTGGACTCTTTTGGAGCAATACTCCAATATCCGGGAATATGGGCACTATTGACTGAATTGTGTCACCTCTCTCCTCAAATTCATATCTTGAAGTCCTAACTCCTAATAATTTAGACTCATTTGGAGACAAGGTCTTTGCAGATATAATCGAGGCAAGATGAGGGCATATTACATCAGGGTGGGACCTAATCCAGTAATGAGTGAGATCTGGACATAGAGGCACACGTAGAGAGAAGACCACGTGAAGAGACAGAGGGAGAAGACGGCCCTCAAGGAGCCAAGGAGAGAGAATCAGCCCTGCCAGTGTGCAAGACGATACGTTGGTGTGATTTAAGCCACTCAGTCTGCAATCCTTTCT